AACTGCAAGCACACACAGAGATATAGATATTGGTTCACAACACATTTGGGCATAAACAAAAATCATGGTACATCACATAAATAGAGTTTGGATTTTATACATAGAGTTTTCTGTTGGTATAGTTTTCCTATTGTGCAGTGTGATTTTGGGTATGTTATCTTGTGGTTCTTTGGTTTTTCTTTGTGGCACTGTTGGTTGTGGTGGGTGTACTTAGATAGACTTGGTGGATACCTTTTAGTAAACATTTTTGCCGAGGAAAGTAGAGTAGTAACGTGTGTCGTTTTGTAAAAGTTCGATATGCGAGAGTTTTCTTTGAATAGTATACGTATATATTTTGGAATCTTTTTGCTTGGAATGTAAGAGGGGTTTTTGTACACAAAAGTGTTGGGATGATCGGACAATGAATGCGAAACAATATCGTTACGAACTGCCACAAAACTGTGCTGGGACACACATGACACAGGTCACCTACCCCCTTTCCTCGATGGAGGCGTCCACATCGACCTCGCTGATCTGGACCTCGGACTCGCGGCGCTTCGACGACTTCTTGACCTTTTTCGTGGTCTTCTTCACTTCCGTTTGCACGGTTTGCATAATCTCCACGTCCGCCATCGCGCCCGCTATCTCGCTCGCTCTAATGACCGACTGAACTTTCTATAATTATTATCGTATCTTGTGGATTTTGTATCTCGAAGGGTGTCTGTATGGGTGGGTGTGTGTTGCTTTCTGGCTAGTGTATTTTCGATCGATTTCGGAGGTCCAGAACGGTATGAACTTTGCCGAGTCGGGATCTCAACTGGCGCAGCGGTTTCCGAAAATGTTTTTCAAAACGCCTGCTGCACCGCTTTCAGTCCGCTCTGTATCTAGTTTCGCCACCGCCAAGTGTAAAAATAAAATCTCGGAGAGCAGACGGGTGCCTAAAGAGCGAGAGCTATGAGATCTGTAGAGATCTCGCGAGATATTCGACTTTTTCGGAGCGGCGAAAAGACGGGCGGCTGAATTATTGCGGTAGACAATGTAAATATCGCCAATAATTAACGGCATTATTGAATTTGCAATGCAATTGGTTAATTTTCTCAACGATTTCGGCCAATTTGCATGCAATATTTCGTTCACGCTTCGCGCTAAAAATAAAAATGGCTAAATGAAAAATCGAACGCATTTCAGGTGCCAAGAGGCGTGGGCGCATGATGGCCCACCTGCCGCCGGTGAAAGGGGTGTGGCATGCTTGGACACCCCCTAGAAACGTTAGGCCCCCCACTTCTCCCCAAAAAAACCCCCCTTAAATCACTTGTCAGAGATTTGAAAAATTTTCAATTTTTCACCAAAAGAAATGTAGTGTGCCTTCTTGTTGTTGCTGGCGCTTGTGCACACGACACACAAGCAGCACATTCAAACACTCTCGTAAATGGAAAATCTGGGAAAATTCTCTTTCTTCCCACACTGCACTACACACGACACGATCGTTGGCCAATGGAGCATAAGTCGGCATTTCCATTGGATTGGATCTAAAACGATGATCTGCGTCTGGCATTTCTGCTTATCGCACCCCTGCGGTATTTTCGTATTTTCCAATAGATTTCCTAATTGATCTCCAGCCCATACATTATCGAATTAGTATTAATATATGGAATTTATTTTCGCATTCCGTAGTTTCTCGATTTGCCTTGCATTACAGCATTTGGCAAACAGACATCATTGAAATGCCAATGGGCGAAAATGTTTACTGAAATGAAATGAACCAACAGGTGTGCCGGCAAATTAGAAAAATAATCCCAATTTAATGTAAGAATAAATACCATAAATAGATAGGGTGCGTCAACTTGAAGAAGTTCATTAAATAGTTTTAAGAATTTGTGTGTTTTATGCTCTGTTATTTGTATAATTTAAAAGTTATATGGACAAAAATACACGATTGTTTTTTAAACTGTCTGAAAACTACAAATCAAATTTATTTGCAGAAACAACTTCTGACGTTTGATGGATCCATCAACATAAATTTTTAGCTTTTAATGGAGTACTTACTCACCATGACCTCATCTGGTCCTAAATCAATTTCATCATTTGTCGGCCGAATTTAAATATTTCACCCCAATTAATAACCAATGTTTATTCGGCGGCCAAACTAATTTCCATTAGACAAATTGACGCGACACCTAAGGGCAGCCGGCCAAGGTAAATTGGCGAGAACTAAACAAGTACAAATGACCAATGGGCCGCGAGAATGTTCTAGTGACAGTTCAGTGGTAGAAAGCTATTAACAAGGCCTTAAAGCGCCGTTCTAGGTCGCCCGTCTAACCCAAGCGGGGAATAAGAAAAACCCGTCAGACCAAAATGATTAATAAACAAAATCAACAACTCGTGAAATGTTCTGGCTAGAGGGCAGCAACCACAAAAAATATATGTGTATATTGTTTAAGAATCAAAATGTTGATGTAAACTGATTCACTGCTGCTATGGGAATTTATGGCTTTAATAATGATGTACCAGTGACGTGCGTTGCGCAAAAATCGAGGGGGTTTAGTGCATACAAATATCAAGGGAATATTTTCCAAAACAAAAATCAAAATAACAAAATAAAATTTTTTTTCTATACGAATTTATTGTTGGCCAAACAATTGTGAATTGTTTTTTAATCTAAAACTTATGTTTTCTATGAGGGTTAGAACATTAATAGAACATTAAAGGTTGTACTTTTTTTGAGCAGCAACTTCCTCTAAAATATATTTATTAAAATGTTAAAGCTCTATAGGATTTTTTCTTCAAATGGAAATATGTTTCCGGTTTTACTTCTCTATCTGAATTGGGTTTTGCTGGCCATGCTCCTTTCTATCATATAAAGTATGATATATGTTCGTGCTTGGGCATTTGCACATACTTATAGAATAATGCATCGCATGTGTATATTAGTTGTTGCTATTTTCGCCTCAGACACGAGCAACAACAACTGCAATGGAGCCGAGTGTAATGCAATCTGCGAGTTGGTCTAAAAATACGCTGCATTTCGCGAATCTTTGATAAAAAGTTTTTGCGTGATGCGACTGCCATCCCCTCCCTCTTGATCCCCTCCGGATCATCATCATTACGATTATTTGGCATTTTTCACGCAGGCGTTAAAGCGTTAATTGGGTCATAAATTTAGACACTCTCACATATAGAGAGGCGCGTATATTTTCCAGCGTATTTTTATATTTTTTGTTTCTTGTTTATTGAGCGAAAATCAAAAGCGAAACGGGAAAACTTTCCCAAGACAAGGAGCATATTCTGTGTAAATTGTTCAATGGGGGTGTCTATAAGTTCAAGTTTAAGAACAGCTGCGCCCCAAAAAGATTTCATTTTAATTTGGCACATTTTAAATTTGTCTTTAAATTGGTCGAAGCGAATCAAATGAAATCATGTTTTTTGGAAATTTATTGAAAAATACGCAAATGCAAGTGATGCCAAAAAAAGATGACTCTCAAACGTGTATTTTCGGAATGCAAAAACAAATGCTTGGCCGTGTGGAAAAAAGGTGTTTCATTTAACTGACACTGAATAAGAAAAATTCATTTACCAGCTGAACGCACAAAATTCAAGTGAATTTTTTAAAAAATTATTTAAGGCAATTTTCCGCAAGCAGAACAAGTACTATATATACACGCTTGTACTTTGGGGGAAAATATGAAAGAAAATATAACCGCAGGCTTTTAAGTGTGCCCCGCAAGAAAAATGAATTCATGTCAAAGACAAAACTATTGAATAAGACTTTTTGGCAGCGTTTTCGCCGTGTTCGCTTGGATGTGGCTCCAACGCAAGTTCGGAGAGATACATTTATTTGCCGTACGGATGCATTACGTAATGAGTTTTACAGAAATAAATTCCAAATGGCCCGTTTCCCCAGTGCAAAAGTGGAGAACAAAGCCAAGTGAGCTGCGTAAACAAATCACTCGAGTGACACACTTTCCTGTTGGCCTGTCATAAATATTTTGGGAATTTTTCATTTCCAATTTCCCCTTTTGCGGCCTGAGTCGCTGAGATAATTTGTTATCTCGGCGAACCTTTGTCGCCTTTCAGTGGCTGACTTTTGCTTAATTTGACTGAGGATACGACATATAAAACTTGACAGGGGCATTTCGCCAAAAAAAAAAAAAAAAAAGAAGCTAGAGCAGTGCAAAAATATTATATTTCCCAAAGCTGACGGAAAACGAATGAATGAAATGCAAACGCTGGATAAATTTCCCATAGATTAGCATACTTTCGGGATCGAAAGAGTGCATACTTTGGGGAAGAACTAGAAAATAGTTTAGAAATTTATAAAATGGAAGACAACCAATCGAATGCTACCCTATTATTATAAAAAGATAAATAAATGATTATTTTTAATGTATTTTTTAGCAAAAATCCTTTTATAAAATTGTAAAATTTTTAAAATAAATATTACCCATGTTAATCTAGTGTTAATTTTTTATTTAATCTCCTAAGATACTACCATATTTTCCTTGTCACTTCTAATGCCACTTAGCCCTGACCTTAGGCCCATTATTCAGACATATGTAAGACCCACGAAATCCAAGTGTATGCGCTAAACAACCTATATATAATTCGTGGGCACGACAGATTGTTTTTGTTTCGTTTATAGTCGCAATGACAAGAGCATTAAAAATCGAGTAAATCTATATGGCGAGCACTTCCCATCGGGACTTGTGTGTTGCTCATCGGTATTAGCCGTATGTCAAACGATGACATCATGCGAAAATGCAAATTGGGCCACAGAATTATTGTCTGCGATTATATGGGCAATTGTGGGACGATTTATGGTCCCTCTTCTTCTGCGGCTGCACTTGGTGGGATGGGCCATGGATGGTTGAGACCAGTGCTGCGGCATGAATGATCTCAATGCCCGAGTATTTTGGTAGCCGATGCAGAATTGGCACAAAATACAAGTCACAGATGCGAAATTCGGTGGGGTGTATTACTATTTATAGCTACACAGAGTACAACGAAATGCTTTTCTTCATTTATTCAGTTGGCTTTTATTCTCGGCATTTTTATAAAGACAAAATCGTTAAGTAAACTAACAGCTATGGTAAACAATCCTTCAATCGTTCGATTCATAATGGGTTCAAAGTTTTCTGGGTCGTTAGTATAATACATGGTTTATACAGATCGGAATCGCGGGGATCCCTCAGTCAGAGGAGCGGATGCTGGATGCTGGATTCTGGAACTTTAACTGGGTCTGATTTCATGTACAGCGTGCTCGGTTTTGGATGTGGCTTGGACTGGATTGTGCTGGGCTGTGCTTGGCTTGACTTGGCTTATGAACATGTCTATAAGAAACAGATAGAGAGTAAATCAAATGAGTGATAGAGTGTGTGTGGTTACAAGATTAGTTTTCAAACCAAGCGAGCTAGAAGAGTGGATAGAAGTTGGCATCCTTGAGTATATCAAAGGTGTCCACAACGGAGCGCGCGGGCACAACTGCAGTTGCAGTCGATACAGGGGGGGATTCTACAATCTCCTCGACCGACGAAGCTGGGGTTATACACACACTTTGGCCAGCACTGATGGTGGAGAGTAGATTCTGCTGCGTGGATTCTGGAGTCAAATTGGTGGACACCGAAACGGGAGCAATCTCCGCCAAGGCAGCGGCCAAAGCCTTATCCAAGTGAGAATCTTCTGTAGCCTGAGCTGGGGTTTCTTCTCTAGCTTCCTCCTTGTTCTCCTTTGCCGAAGACTTCTTGCGTTTCTTAGTCTTCTTCTTTGTGGACTGCTCTTCGTCTGCTTCGAATTCTGCTATGCCCTCCAGGGATTCGCCCACAAAGGCTAGACTGCTTCTGGGTGAGAAGAGTCCTCCTGATCCCCCTTCTTCGTTGGTCAAGCTGCTTTTGGAGCTTCGCCGGGAACGTGTCTTTCTCTTGGGAGGTTCTGCTGCCTCCTGGTCTTCATTGCGTCGAGTCAAACCCACTTGAGTGTCCGAATCATTGTCTTCCCTAAGTTCTTCTTCGGTTTTGGATCCTTTGCGCAGCTTCTTCTTACTCTTCTTCTTCTTGGGCTTCTCAGCGGGCGATTCTTCCAAGGGAGCCGCTTCTTCTGGCTGTTCTTCGGGTAGCTCTTCTTCTTGGGCTTGTTCTTCTGGTACATCGGGTAGAATTTCGCGAACAGGACTGCGACTGAAGAGGGTGATACTTTCTCCGCCTAGGCTGATCCGGCGGTTCTCGAATAATTCTCCATGCTCTAGATCACCGTTTTCTTCGTTCACAAACTCTGGCTGATCTTGATCTTGATTGTGATCCCTATATTCTTCCTGCTCTCGGTCCTGCCATCCGAATTCCTCCTCAAACTGGTCCCTGGCCTCTTGATCTTGATTTTGATCTTCAATATCATCTGCTACATCCTGGCCATTTCTTTCGCCCTCATCATTGTCATCCAGTCGAAAGTTCTTGCGCCAGTTGTACTCCCTCTTGGGCTTGTAGTTCAGATCCACCTCGATGTCATCTTCCAGCTCACCCACATCCAGGTTGGGATTAAAGCCATAACGGGTACGTAGCCTTGTGGATTGTCGGGCCACCACATGAGCATCTCCCAAGTAACGCATTTCAGACTCGCGGTGTTCGCTTTCAGGCATCAATCCCAAGGCAATGTCCACATCTGAGTGTCGGGTGCTGGAATGGGATCGCTCGAGTTCCCTGGTCTTGGCCCATAGGGCGTACTTCTCACTATCCGATCCCGACTTTTCCTTATCCGATTCGCTGTGATCCGAGGGCAGTTGTTCCTGAACCATCGTCTCGTACTCCCTCAGGATACCCGACTGCTTCCGGTTCTTAATGGCCTCGTTGTAGATCTGATCGATGAAGGAGTCGGGATCGGAATAGGGGGTTGCTCCGCCCACAGCACCGTCATCGAGACCATAGTCGAGAAACTCCTCCACATCATCCACCTCCTCCCAATCCTGAGCTCCCCTATTCTCATATCGATCTGCATTCCTCTCGGCCTCTTCGCATTCGGAAGTGTCATGATGGGACTCGTCGGTGGGTTGGGTGCGTTCATTATTATCCGAGATTCCCTCGTCCAACTCGAACTCGTACTCATCCTCGTCATCGATCTCCACCACTGTTTGTCGTGTATCCTCGCTGTCATTGGAGCTACTCCTCTCCTGATCCAGATTCTCGTGGTCGCTAAGTATATCATAGCTGTAGATGGCATTAGTCGAATCAAATTCGGCTGCCTCCGCTTCTGCGGCCAAAACAGCTCTCGCCCAGGAATCTTCATCTTTCACTGGACTTTTTGAATCACTGTAATCCGGTTCTTGGGTGTAAAAATCCTCCTTTAACCACGTTCTGGTTCCTGTAAGAGTTCGCACTTCGATTTGAGAGATGTAGACAAAGTCATCGCTGGGATACTCCTCAACGGGCTGCTCCTGGGCGAGTGAGTAGCGACGAAAGTGATGGTACTCATCCGGCTCTAGGTCATTTAAAGCCGAATCCGATGCCCGTCGCTCGCTGTCCAAGAAGTCGGCATTCAAGTGCCGTGAAAAGTCGCCGAAATTAATGCTCGAGGCGGCCAACCTATCTAGCAATTGATCCTGTAAATCCCTTTTGGCCGATTCAGCTTCGATGTCCCTCAACTGGTTGAGCTCCTCTTCTCTCAGGGGAGAACGACTCTGGCTGCGTGATCGCTGAAACTCGGCGGTGCGATGACGCAAGTCATCCAGCTGGGCGGCAGAGATGTCCTGGGCAGCTCTCTCCTCGGAGAAGGTCTTGGGTTTGGCGCCCAAACGACTTTCGGTTAGGGAGTCTAGAATGGCGGCTTGGAGCTCTCTTTGAGCTGCCGCCTGCTCTCGAGCCAGATCCATGCTTAGTCCAGGAGATGGGCTGCGGGATCTTTGAAATTCAGCTGCCTCGCGACGTAGCTCCTTGAACTGATCACTGCCCAGATCAAGGGACTCACCCACATAGGTGGAGCGTTTGAAGCCACTGGCCACGAGTTCCTCCTGCAGATCCCTGGCCACCTCGGATACAGTTCGGTCTAGGTCTGGGTTCTCCCGTGTCATCTCAACCACTCTCTCTAGTTCAGAGTTCGTTGGACTCAGCACACGCAACTCCATTTCCTCATTGGCATTGTGCAGTTTCTCTAGGGCCTCCAGATCCAATTCCCTCTGTCTGACACTCGCTGCCAGGACACTTTCCAGTTCCTCGCTGTTTTTGCGCAGTGTACGCAACTCACTGCCCTCCAGATTGAGCATCAAATGGAAATCATCAGGCACTCGTTCTTCTGACTTCGATCGCGATCGAGATGGTGACAGCGATCGCATGTCGCGACTTTCAGCAATGTGTTCATCTTTCTCCTGGACAAACTCATAGACGTACTCCACTGTTAGCCGAGCTTCGGGTTCCGGGGTCCTTGCCCTCTCCTGTAGCACCTCGAAGAACTGATCATTCTGGGCAATCAGCTTCTCGCGCCGCTTCTGCACACTCTGCTCCAAATTAGCGGCCGTGGGTAGAGGAGATCGCGATCTGGATCTGGTTCGCGAATGGGAACGTACTCGGTTCAGGCGCAATTGCTCGAAGAGTCTGGCCATGCTCTCCGGAGTATCCTCAGGCTCTACTTCGGTTGGTACTTCAGCTTCCTCCTCTGGAGGTGCCACAATTTCAATCGATACGGTGGGCAGGGGAAGCGGTGACTTTGGAGGTGAAGCGGATTCTATTATAATTTCAGGAGAGATTTGCAGTTTCTCGAAGATTTCATCGTTATGTTGAATGCGCTTTAGACGTCGACTTTCCAGGCTCTTTTCTATATTATCTGCCGTCGGCAGCGGAGAACGGGAACGTGAACGTGTCGCTGACCTCGAGCGGGCATTCCTCTCAGCCCTTAGGCCCTCCACAAAGAGTCGCATCTGCTCGGGCGTAGTTTCGGCCTCCTCCATGGGCTCATCAGCCATGTCATTGATCTCTATCACGGGCTGCGGCAGAGTGACCTCCAGTTGGGGACTCAGTCTTCCATTGCCATTAGTTTCGATTTCCATGGAACCTTCCGAACTAGATCGGGATAGACGTTCGGCGAGTTCATCGTTCTGTTTGATCAGTCGCTCCCTGCGTTTGTGGATGCTTTTCTCGAGGTTCTCCGAGGTGGGAAGTGGCGAACGGGATCGAGATCGGCATGGTATCCTTTCGACAGAGGGCTCCCTTCTCCTTTCCTCCACCGGAGCACCAAGTGATTCATATACCATTGGCACCATGGAATTTCCATTCCTACCATCATCTGCTACAGTTTGCACTTGTAGCTGCTCATTCGAGGATTCGTTTCCATTCAAATTCGATTCGAGAAGTTGCAGCACAGACTCGCAGTTCAGTTCACCTGCCATCACACCCTCCTGTGTGTCGTCAAAAACTTCCAGCGATCGCTCCGTGTCCACATCCATAAGATTAGCCACATTCTTGGGAGCTGGTGAGGGATTTCGCGATGCCGAACGGGATCTCGACGGGTTGACTGAAGCGGTAAAGTCGTAGAAATCGCTGAGTCCCTCCATGAGCAAACCGTACTGATCCCGCCAAGGTGCCGTATCCGGTTGCTGGACATTGATGGCCGGTGCTCCTGGCACTAGATGCTGCTCCTGGCTGGCGGACCAACGTTCCGGGTAATGCTCCATTTCGTCCATGCGCGGACTGCGACGCAAGCCAGGTGAACCAACCCTTGATTGCTCCTCTGTTGCGGAAGAGGTTTGCAGCTTTTGGAGAGGGTTGGGAAAAGCGGAAAAGCAGGCGAAATGCGAAAGCGGTTGCCATATGAAAAGCAAAGAGGTAAAGCAGTTAGGAAAGTTAGTTAAGCAGCAGTGGGTTTGGATTTGGATAGGTTTCAGTGGAAGTAGGATGGTGCTAGGTGGCTGACCTACGCACTTACATTGGCTTTGTTGCTGTCGCTGGTCTCCACTGCTTGCGAGTTGTCCTTCTCCTTTTCCTTGTCCTAATTGCACACGTAATAAAGATTAAAGATCCTCGACTGCTAGTTCCAATTACTCACCATCTGCTCCTTGGAAAGTTGCTGCTTCAGGGCAGCCACTGCTTGTTCGTTTTGTGCCTCAGTGGCCTCCTCGAAAGAGGAGGACTTCGGCTCGTTGGTGGCTTCATCCTCTACATCCTCTCCCCTGGAGGTCCTCTCCATCTCGACTTCCTCTTCGTCTATGGACAGGGCCTTCTCCCGCTTCCAGAACTCGGTGTCCTTATAGTGTTCCGGTACCACCTCACCCCAGGGATTAGTGCTCTCCTCGCCGAGCATCTCCAGGGATCCAGCACTCGTCTCTGCCGGCGGCCTAACATCCTTGGCCGGACTCCGTTTGTGACGTCGGTGGGATTTGACCTTCAGGGTGGGCTCACTCGTATACTTGATGGGGTTGTAGTCTTCCCGCTCGCCATGGCGCAGCTCCTCCTCCTCCAGCGAGGTGAACATCTTCAGCTCCTCGTCCCGGGAGGCGCGTGAGTCTCGCGAGGAGTTGGAACTGCCACTGGAGCGTCGCTTCTTGAAGGCTCTTCTCCGGCCCGAACCGTCTTCGCGGACCAAGGGGCGACTCTTGATGCCATCCAGAGATCGAAGATAGTCCTCGGTGTACTGTACATCCGGTATTTGATCCTCGCCCTCGGGCTCTGGACGTTCGCCTTCGGTGCGGTTGATTTCTTCCGAGGGTTGGGTGCTGAACGAAGACTGCTGGCTGGAGAAGGGTTCCACGGAGGATCCTTCATCGGAGACACCGGGGAAGGGAGGGGTTTTGGATTTCACCAAATAGTTATCTTCGGAACCCTTTCCTTGACCAAATTGCGTTTTAACCTTCTGCACTACGAGTGGTTCTTCTGGCGGTTCCTGAAATCTAGGTGGCGCCACCTTTTTCACACACGGCTCCTCCACCACGGGCTCCATTCCGGCATACTCGTCAGCCTCCTCTTTGCTGTGGGTGGCTTGCAGTTTTCGCTGCTGCAGCATCACCATCTCCTCTTCGGCCTCCAAGAAGCGTCGAGCATTCTCCTCGATCATTCGCTGCTTCTGCTCGAGATCTGTTCTGCTGGAGATGAGACGACGCGACTGCTCAGCGATGGCGGCATCTTCCTCCAGTTCGCTCTCGGTGGCACTCATACTGAGCTCTCTTTCCGCCGCCAGAAGACGCTCTACAATCTCCGCATCGCGTTGGGCCTGTTCTTCCTCGTTGGCTTGTTCCCGCTCTCGCTGGATCTCGGCTTCAAAGATGCGACGCTCGGCTTCGGCTAGCTCGGCTTCAACCAGGAGCCTTGCTTGCTCGGCTAGCTCTCTTTGGCGCTCGTCCTCGGCTTCGGCCTGCTCTCTCTGTCGCTCTGCCTCGATGATTCTTCTTTCATTTTCCTCCCGCTCTCGCTGCTCTTCCGCCGCTTGCAGTCTTCGCTCCTTCTCTTCCCGCTCTCGCTCGGCCTCTATCAGCTTTCTCTCGTTCTCTAGGCGTTCTTTCTCTTCTGCTTCTAGCTTCCTGCGCTCTGCGTCTCTTTGTTCTTGCAGCTCTCTCTCCGCATGCTCTCTCTCGCGCTGTCTTTCGGCCTCTACGAGCTTTCGCTGCTGCTCCTCCGCTTCCTCTTTCTCCCGCTGGACCCGCAGTCTTTCTCCTGCCAGTTTGGCTTCGGCTTCGGCCAGCTGACGTCGCGTATCCGCCTCGATTTGCTGCTGACGAGCCAGTTCTGCGGCCAGAGCTTCTCTTTTTTCTCCAGCCGGATCCACGCGAATTCCGTTGCTATAGAGAACACCATCCTGCATGACATTGGTGCCCGCCAGCGCTTCCCTTTCGGCTGCCTCTTTGATCTCCTTATCCAATCGCTCACGCAGACGAGGTAATTCTTCTGAGTCAGCGCCAGCATCGGCAGAAGAATCGTCGGGATGCTGGAAGGACCAGTGGTAGAGATGTCTAGCCACAAAGGCGAATTCCAGGGCGCCCAGGTAGCCAATTAGAAGCGAGAAGAGCAGCTCGCCGACGCCGGTTAGCGCCTCCTCAGCGGCCATTGCGTAATCCGAATCCTCCAACGTTCGCCGATGCAATGAGAAGAGTACTGCTCTCGGGGGAAAATCAATTCGGCTAACGCGTATTATATAAAATATATTCACCACGCACTCGAGAAAATCGCACACACCACTCACGTTAATGGCCAGCCGATTAGGTAATTCGAAAATAATATTTATTTCACTTTCGCTCGCAAATCACTGGGCCAATCGATATATTATTTATTTATCTACGATTTTGAGAGGTATTTATGAGAGCGCGGCACGGAGCGAGGAGAATCGGAAATGGGCAATCGCCAGGCGGCTGCAGTTGCACGGGCGGGCTCTTGTTTTCCGCTAATCGATCGTCTTGCAACTGATTAATGCCCCGGCGGCGGCAATGGGCCCGTGGCTACCTCGATTCCTAGAGAACTGAGAGGTGATTCAGCGGCGAGAGAACCAAGAACCGCCAAGAACCGAATCCCCAAACCATTCAAATGGCAAACGGCGCTAAATGACGGCCAGCGAAGAGAGCAGAGCCAACTGACAAGACATCGGTGACTTTTCTAGCTGGCAATTTGGCAACACAAATACGCCGCTGCCTCTTCCTCCGCCTTGGCCGCTGCTGCACTGCCTCTGTGTCAAATGCCAAAGCAATCGGAATCGGCCAAGGCGGATTTTCTAATCAGTTTAGTCGACACCCTCCTAACCCAACCCACCGAACGCGCCCCTTCTTCTCGTTTCGGTGGATCTATTTTGGTCTACGCTTCGATTGCTGTTTTCCACAAAACACTTTTCGCCACTTTCTGCTTTGCTCGCAGTTTTCGTGCGGGAGAACAGTGAGCGTCATAGTCATAAATCAGATGGGAAAACCAATAGAAAAAGGCTTTAAAAATAAATTTTCCTTCGCTCTAAGAGATAGAAAAATTTTGGATGTTATTAAAATTATTAAAAAATTATTAATTATGTGAAATAAAAATCTCAAATTTGTAAAAAATTTTAAGAAAATTTAAGGGAATAATAATAGAATTTCACAGTAAAAAATACAAATTATATTATATTACACCAATATTTTTCAAATCGCTTAAGGAATTTTACAAATTTACAATTCAATGGCAATGATATTTTGTATCTGTTATTTAAGAGAAATTATAATATTACTCATACGCAATGTTATCATTTTCATATTTCATATTAATTTATGTTTGAAGATTTTATAAACTGAATTTTATTTCTAAAATCCGTTGGGTCTAAAAAAAATTGTATTCCATAGTTCTTATATGAATGGCTTGTACTGTTCTTGCTGTTTGCAAATCTGTTTTCCTTTAGCATGGCCAGCGGCTGGGGCCAGGGTCGCCACGCCCCATTTCTCCGCCTCCGAGCGGATTGCACACAAATGTTTGCCATAAATTTTGACTTGGCACTGACACTAACATTGCGAGCAGCTTTCGGCCTGCTGTTTCTCACCAATTTCTTTCTGTTTTCTTCACATTATGCACCGCCAACAATAGCCACACAATCAGTTTAATTATAATTATTGTCAAATGGCGCATAATTGTGTTCTTGCCCCACATTATAGCCAAACTATTTTTGAATTCTTTTGTTTATTTTCGTCAACTGATTGTCATTAGAAATTGTGCCAAAAATACATAAATTCGTATGAATATATAGGTCGTCTGGTGATAATTTATTTAGCTTTTCGCAGCGAAAGCGAAAGTATTTCTTTGTGATGGGTGGGGAAAATTAGGAAAGCGGTGAATGAATTAAAAGTTACATTATACATTTGGTAAATATTGAATAGAATTTAGTTTTGGAGAAGACACTTTTAAAATGTAAGCTTTGCTACTGAAATACGGAATACTATTTTTAACTTGTTTTAATAATTTGAAAGCTTTTTTTATTGATTAATAAACACGTAGGATATAATATGCAACAGAAGAATTAACCATAATTTTCTTCACATAATTAAATTTAATTATTAGACTCTAAAACATTTTAGATTTTATTATTTCGCTTTGACATTTTGTGAAAGCAGCTAGCAATAAAATTCAATTTTTTGAAAAAGCGCATGAATCACAAAGAAAATGAATAGCAAATAATTGATGGTTGGAATATTCTATGTTTTAGTTAAAGCAGTATATTATATTGCACAAAAAAATAATTTCCTCTAGTTGCTCCGTAAGCTGTACCAATTTATAACCATCATAAAAACCTTCAGTGATTTTTGCAATCTCTGACCTTAACCGATTGCCACAAATTTCCGGCTCACTCGCAATGAACTTCCGCTCGACGGATGACAACACGTCAACAGCCAATGCTGCCAATGAACTGCTTTCATTTCTTAGTTGCCATCGCCATCGCCGAGTCGCTGCATTAAGGAGCCGGAGGACTTCCCCTGCTCCGCCGAGTTTCAAAGTGAAGTTCAATGAAAATGCCATAACCTTTGGAAAGGGCGATAGCCGCACCTATGCAATAAACGTGAACTGCGTGCGGCGGGCGATAAAAACCAGAGCCCGTGACATCGAGCACTCACTCACAGGGACACTCTTGGTTGGGATACAAAGATACCATCTGAATGCCCCCCAAAGTATGCCACACACAATCATTTTCAATTAGGGATCGGATGGGGGCGATATCTCATATGGGGTATGTATGTATATAGGGACTCACCTCATCACAGCCAGCGCAGCGGGGCTTCAGCATTTCCGCGTAGTGGCGCTCGCAGTAGACCTTGTCGTCGTGGACGCAGTAGGTGAGGTCCACCAGGAGCGAGTTGCAGGTGCTGCAGGTGAAGCACTGGGGGTGCCACATCACACTCTCCACAAACTTGGGCGCCGCCACCACGAGCTCACCGGCGGCTATCTCGTTATCACAGTGCGCACAATGCTCATCGTAGGGGGCATCCTTGATGTAGGCTATTCAACCGGAAGAAAAAATGCAAAAATGCAAAATGCAATCAGTTAAGTCAACCTGGGCGGTGTCATCGTTGGGATATTAAGAGTAAAGCAAGCCATAAACTTGGCGTAGGGGATAGCAAAATTTATTCCATATAAAATCATAGATCAGAAATACATAAATTAATTATCACGGATTAAAACATTCAAATATTTTGTATCATCTAACATTTCATATATTTTATACCTAATTCTGTGTGAGCAATTTAGTTAATAACAATGTTATAGCATAGGTTTTACCAATTTAAATATGAAATTCAAGATTTAGAAGGACAACTCACCTATATCCAGTGCGATTTCGTTCCGCGCCGTCACAAAGTCCTCGAAGGAGGCCTCGTGCTGCACCTCCAGGTGCTTGCAGTGCTCCAGCGAGAGGTCCTGTTTGGGCAGCTGGTACGAGATCTGGCGCTCCCGACTGCAGGCTCCCTCGCTGCCCAACCGGGGCACCACGTCATCGGGCAGCTGCTCGAAGTAGCGGTTGATCCGCGACGAGGCCCGCACTCCGGGCGGAACCCACGTGAAGCCCAGGTCCCGAGCCTCCACTCCGGAATCCGCGGGAGAAACCAGCTTGAAGCCGAGTCGCTCGTGGACATTGGTCGTCTGTTGCTGGTAGATGGCGTGCGCCTCGCGAGGACATTTGCAGGATTGACAGGTTTTCCTGGAAGATCAGAGGGGAATAAGATCGTTTAATATTTTAATTTTAATGTAATATATAAAAATGAAACATTTATCAAGATTAAATTTTTAGAATAGTATTAAATAATAAGAATAACAAACATACTGGTAATATAATAAACCTTTTTGAATTTTTAATATTTATTTTATTTTAGAAAATAAAAAAATAAATCAAATATTTCCTATTTTTCAAGATATACCCTTGAACCTAAATTTAAAAACCTCGTAAAATATTACACTTTTTACAAATTAAATTGCAATTCTTTTTATTGCCTCTGTGTTGCAGACAGAAATTCAACATAAATATGTGATTCTTGTTCCACCCAAAAGTACCAAGAAATTCAAATAAAATTCCACTGTACGCAGCTTCGTTTCGCATGTGCAAAAGTTTGCGTGGCGCCATCGGGCGGCAGCTTTGCGAACCCGGCGCGGGCTTACCTCACGATGAGATCGTATATTTCCTTCCGTTCGAATACTTTGCAGTAGATACTGAGCACGTTGAGGCAGGCGTAGTCCATCCCAGTCCATGGGACATCCGAGGAGGCCAGTGCCGCCCACAGTGGGCACTCTGCGTGACGGTCCAGATCGAGCATTTTCACCATTTTATGCCACTTTTAACCGCACTTTGAACTGAGGGTTTTTGGCTCTTTAGCCGCTTTTCTCTATTCCCTTTACTGTTACTGTTGTTTGGCTTAATGAACTTGGCCTCTGTTTAAATATCTTTTCTTGTTGCCTGACTCGGCACAATTTGTCGGTTCTTCTTTGGTGATTCGCTCTGCCACCTCCACGAAAATAAGAAAATGAGAGAAACTCGCGGTTTAGGCTAAATCACCTTTCAGTCGGCACGTCGGTTCGCGTTATTTGCTCATTGACATTTTGATTAAAGTGCTAATTTGACCTTTGTTCTGTTACGATTTGTTTACTATCCAAGAATTTAATTCTACCTTTGCGAGGAATTCTGCGGGCTGGGAATTTCTATAATTGCTTGTTTACTTATTTTTCAATTAGAGCTACAAGCAAAATAATCACAATCATAAATACGCCCACACCAGAGGTATTGTGCGTAAACACGTTACGGGTACACAGAAAGATAAATTGCAAATTAGATTATGAATCAGGTTTTAATAAGAATTTGTCATTTAAAAAATGGTACCTAATAGGAAGCTACTTAAAATTTCTCCAAAAGATTTTACCATCATCAACCTATGCAAAACCAATTAGCTCGCAACATTTATGGTTAAAATGTTTAAATCAGCATATAATAATTTCATTAACATTTTTAACTGAATTTTGAACATCAGAAACTTTAGCTTCCAAAATTAATACTTTAGTTGTCTTTAAAACTTCTCAACTTTTTAAGAAATAACTAACTTTTTCACTAAATTATTACGAAGAAAGACAACCAAAATGAGCTCACGATTATGGATTGCCCGTTTGGCTGACATTTAACGAAAATAAAAACGCCCCAAGCAATGAAATAAAATAAAAGGTAGAAAAGCATCTTTTGATAAGATTAATAAAGGTCTCTCCCCCCCCACACAAACACACGCACTCAGCAATCCTGGGTAGGATTGGCCGTCGGAGTGTGTGATGTCATCGGGGGAGCTGGAAACGAAAAACCCAAAACCGAAATTGCCAAATTCCATTTGCTCAATCATCGACGGAGGCCAAAATGCGTTAGCGTTCAAAATAAGATAAGCCGATGTGAGTTCTTCCACCTAAATGCTATCGAATGGAAACAGTGGCTGGCGATTGTCCAAATGGGCATATAGAACGCAGGGTATATGGTCTCAAAATGTCAGTTGTCCTATTATGGTCTTGTCTGGAAAATGAGGAACTGTTTGCTAATTGCTCACGACTTTGATGCGGAAAAGTGCAACAGGTTTTGATTTTGCTGGATGGAGGAGACTTGTCCCAGGTAATGCAAATAAATTGAATAAATTACTGTGAGTACAAGTGAGTCATGTTTCTGGGTCGCACAGAGCGCAGGTTGTCTCAAGATCTAACTTATGACATGTTTACATTTTAGAGTCCAAAGAAATGAAGAATTTTCTAAAATAAAGTAGACTACTCAGAACCAAAGTGCGATAAGGGTTCTACTGAAAAAAGGTTACATTGAGGGTGCAAAAATATTTGGTTTGCGTAGTTATCTTTATTATATTAATACGACTTTTATCACTAAATTATCGATTGAGGAAGCATTTAATAAAATTAT